GGACGCTACGTGCTACGTGGGTGGGCAGTAATTGCTGTGCAACAGGGGGGGGGGGGGGGAGGACAGCGAAGCAAAATCCGCAAAACGAGTACTTGTGATCGCGAACAATTCGACGTGAACGCTAGCGACCTCGTGGAAAATAACAACAACAACAACAACATCCCCTTGGATGGGCGAACAACCGAAAGGTTTTGCGAGATTGTCACCGTACGACCGCGGGTCGAGAACCTGAGAGGGCTTTTGCAATCGGCGGCGTGGTCAAAGATAACCGCATCGACCCTTAGATGGGGCTGGGTGTGTTGGGGCTTCGGGGGGAGACACTCATCCAGCAGTGGATTGACTCATCCAGCAGTGGACTGTTGCCCTTACATGTGCATCAGCATCGGTAGCAGCGGCGGCATCAGCAGCCATGGCCAATCAACCGCTGGATGGAGCCCCCCCCCCTCCCCCTCAACACGCGCACGGTTCATATACACACAAAGACAAATATCCCAGCAGTCTAGCCTCGAACAGACTGTTGGGGCAAGTGAAGGGTGGGGGTAAAAGGTGGCCAGCACCACGCCCGGCCTCCTTTGTCTCCCCCACGTTGGCGATGTTAACACACTATTTTGAGGCCGAGTCGACCTAGAGGGGGGGAGGCCCGGGACCGGTTCAAGTCACCGGTGCTGACGAGCGGACATCGTCGTCGACATGAACGGTAGCTCGGATCGGGCGCATTCGGCTCATTGCAAGGGAGGCTGTTTACCGACGTCAAAGCACATTCCCCTTCGTGTTTAAACAGCCAGGGAGGGCGAGGGAGGAGGAGGGCGAGGGGGGGAGGAGGAGGGGAGGAGGGTGGCGCTAATGGAGCTGTGGCTCTGAGTCACTCCGCGGCCCCCCCCCGCGCCACGGACGGAGGCGTGGGGTGGTGGTGGGGGTCGGTTCCGTGGCTGCGCAAGCCGCTGTCGCTCTCTGCTGGCCACTCCTCGTGCCGTCCTGTGGCATGCACCTCCCCATCTGTCTCTCCCCCCTCTCTGTCTCTCCCTCCCTCTGTCTCTCCCTCCCCATCTGTCTCTCCCTCCCCTTTCTGTGTCTCCCTCTCTTTTTTTTCCACTCGTGCAAAATTTATTGTTTGAATACATCGAGCAATTACCTTAAGTTTGAAATTTTTCGATCTTGCAAAAAAAAACACACAATCTGCATCCCTTTCACCTGCCACTCTATCTGCTGGTACAAGCTAAGTGCAGACTTAAATATGAATCATTTACGATAAGATCCAAGTTAGAGAGGCCACAACTTTCAGAATACCTTTAAGGGAATAAAACTTAAGTCATGGGAGGCAGGCGAAAGCAGTTTTAACAATTTGTTCAAAACATGCGTGGAGATGATTCCAGAGGGGGTCACGTTGAAGCCGTGGCCTGCACAGGCCGCACCGATGGCTCCTTGGTTGACGCGGCCGGAGATCCGAACCTCTGCTGCAGGGAATTGGCGATGTAGCCCTACTCTCTGTCCCTCCCCCCTCTCTTTTTTTACGATCAGAGGAAACAAGACGATACTCGGTGTAGTCGACACTTTGCTTCGTTCATCATTTCGGTTTTTGTTTTTTTCAATGATTTGCTTTATGTGCCCCCCCCCCGTTTAAATGAAAGATTTCATGAAAGATTTCACGCTCTGCTCTCCTCTTTCTTACCCCTTCCCTCTCTCTCTCTACCCCTCTCTCTACCCCTCCACTCCACTCTCTCTACCCACTCTCTCCCTACTCTAGGTCTATGTTCCCCCTGTTTTCTAAGTACATATTTTTTACTACGACAAGTGCTGCATCTGCATCCAGCCCTCCTCGCAGTCCTACGGCCTCCGACGGGCAGCTCATATCTGCATGCAGAGCTCCCTGTTTTCTGCCACCGAGCACACGGCCTCCTCCAGCGCCCATTGCTCCATGAAGGCCGGCACGGCGTGGGTCAGCCGCGCATGGCGGAACTCCAGCCACACCCTGGCTCCGACCAGAGCACGGAAGATGCCTAGGCTGCTGGCCAGACGTTTCCCCTCCACAGGCACCTTCCTCGCCCTGTACATGGCGAGCTTGGAGTAGCCAACGAGTACGTTGACCAGCCTCTGAAGATGTTGGGGTCCGTCGCCCTTCGGGTATCCAAAGATGAGGACCGTCGAGGAGAAGTGGAGGCTGAACCTTAGGAGGATGTTTCTCAGGACCTTGAACAGCGAGTCCAGGCTCTTGCACTCCACGTATTGGTGCGCCACCATCTCCACTTTACCGCAGAACCGGCACTCCAGGGACGTGTCGGTGAAGCGCGCCAGTGAGGCGTTGGTAGTGACGGTGCCGTGAGCGATGCTCCAGCTGAGGTCGCCGATGCGGTTGTATGTCAGGCTGGAGTAGAGTTGCCTCCAGAGAGGTCTCTCTGGAGAGACGCAGGGCAGGGCCTTCCTGCAGGCGTGGTTCTTGTGGCTCCTCAGGGTGTCCTGTTAGTGAAACCGGACCATGTAGGAGTTGAGCACCTTCCTCTTTACATTTGTGAAGGCCACCTCCGGCAGGTCTTCCAGCCGGCACAGGTTGTGATCCGCCTTCGTTTGTCGGCATTGGCGATGCAGTGGCACGACGGAGAGCTCCGATGGAGGGGGACCGAGAGGGGCCTCGTCATCCCCAATGCCGATGGGGGGCCTTCTCCCCGCTGCTGCTGAGAAGGCCCCCTTGGCTTCGGCCAGGATCTGGGCAGCCACCCGGAGCGACTGCAGCCCCCTGTCTTTGCGACCATGTCTGCTGGTCCGAGCCACTGGCCCCATGTTCCAGGCTCCACCAGATCTCCCATCCTGGTGAGCCGCGCGTTGGCGAGGCGCCTCTCCATGCCGGGGGTGGTGGTGGTGGATGGCAGCTTTGTCTGCGGGTTCCTGAGGATCGGTTCGAAGACCAAATCCTCGGCCGATCGCGACTGGTTCAGCCTCCTGACGGCGAGGGCGCTCCATGTCTGCAGGACGCTCCTGTGATAGGTGGCAGCTGTCCTAGTGGGGGGCCCTGCAGGTCCATGTAGAATAGTTGTTTGGAGCACTGCAGACCGACCAGCTGTTTCAGGGGGAAGGAGGCCGTGACACTCCAGGCCGGTGCAGGGGCGGCATCCCTCTCTGTCTCTCCCTCCCCCTCTGTCTCTCTTTCCCTCTCTCTCCCTCTCTGTCACTCACTTCCTCTCCTCCTCGCTTACGAGACGATTCCATCGCTCCGTCTCCGCAGTGGATGTGCGGCCTCCCCTTCTTCGGTCGAGTTCCTTCTCGGTCATCAGCCGTCATCATCGCCGTCCCTTCTGGTCAAGGCCCACTTACTTAAGTTGCGAGGTGTTAACTACCTCGCCTGGTATACAGGAGGTCGTGGGTGCGATCCCGACCCTGACGACTGCTGTATATTCGGACTTTGCGTGTCCCTCTCATGTTGCTGTGGATTTTTCTCAGAGTCCTCCGGTTTTTCCCCTCCACATTTAGAAACAACAACACCACGTGTTTCGAGTCTTTGGCTGCTGCACATTTCAACGCGGCAAGCCACTTTCGTTGAGCTTTCATTTGTGGCCAGGTCGCTTCTGAAAAGAGAGCTACTACATGCGGCCTTACCTGGTAAAATAAAAAAAATACAGTAGTTTACTGAACAGTCACGCTGGTGGTTTACTTCAATATCCTGTACTTTACATGTTTTCTAATCCATGCTTCCCCCCCCCCCCCCCCCCCCCGTATCACGCTTCAATCCCAAATAATCGTGCATCATTCCGCGCTACGAGAGTTTAATCTCTCACGCTGAACCCATAGCGGTATAGCGCAATAATTAGCATTGGGGGTGTCTTTAACGATACTTCAGCGTGCCGGTCCGGTGCGTGTTTGTAAAGGCGGGGGATGCATAGAAGTAGAGTACAACATTCAATTAGCCCGCACAGCCACGGCCAAATTGTCCCCTTGTGCATATGAGCGTTGGCCGTCATGACGCCCGTGATGGAAAGTCCACGTTCCTATGGCAAGACCAATCCAACCGTAGGATAACCACTGTTGGCTTTCCACAACATGGTACAGTATATGGTGGCAAAACTGACGGTTAGTTTGGTTTATTTACGTCGTTAAAATGTTCAGAGGCGAAATGTTTATCAATATATTTATGTATTAATAAGGTGTGGAGGATAGGACTTAGGACTGGATGTAGATATCACTCGCCGCTCGTGCCAACCGCGGGTGGGAATGGAACTCAGGACGCCGGGTTCAGAGCCGCAGCGTCGCTAATCACCGCTTCGGCACAGGGGCACTGGGAACAAATAAATAAAGCGGGCTGGTGCCCAAGCGTTAAAAAAGGAAAAACACCCACAGCACTCACCAAGTTCACCAATAACGCCGCCTCCTAGCAGCAGCGGTGCATTGGCTGGAACCTCGGTCACCTCAGTTCGATTCCCAGCCAAGGTACACTGCAAGTGGTGGGGAGTGACAACTGAATCGGTTCTGGTCACCCACCCCCCCAGAGCCTTCACTAACTCGCTGTGACCTGCGTGGTGAAGTATACTCAAGCAACTCCAAAGACCGGCACGGCTTTGGAGGGCGGGGAGGCATTTATCTTCAGCAGTTGATTGACGAAGGGCTGTCAATGATTCTCATGAATTTGCATGAGTGGTAAGCAATCTATTCCTGCAAGATGGGATGCGTGCTCCTTATGAACGTACGGATCACTTTGATTCGATGAATACCTGCGACGTTGGGGTATTATTTTCAACCCGCTCCCCCCCCCCACCACCTCATGAATTGGCTGAAAACATCTTAATATATAGAGGACTGCAGAGCGTGGTCAATTGTTGGTAGTGTCGCGGCTCACCACCGGGCTGGCTGCTACCTTCCAGCTTCGTCTGTTGCTCCTTGGTGATTGTGAGATGCAATTGGCATGAACGACGCGATATAAAACTAAACACATTATTATTATACAGTGGGACGACATGACAGCCTGTACAATTCAGCAGCAGCAGACACACAAGGTTATGAACAAACGGAACCAATCGTTTATTCGGATTTATTTTATTTACAGAATTTAGCCATAAGGCAGTCATCGCTGCATTGTGGTTCACAAATTGCAATTACAAATGAAATCGATCAAACAGACAGCAACATTTGCCGAATTGTAAGCTGCTCTATATAAATCTCTGGTTGTGCATCGCAAAAAGTGCATTCATTAAGGAACTACCACCGTATGTGTTATGAATTAACTGGGGGGAGGGGGGTAGAGTGGTGGGGCAACGGTTAGCGCATTGCGCTTTGAACCCAGTAACCTGAGTTTAATTCTGGCCGTGGCTAACATCAGTGGAGAACGGTATGCTCCAGCTGGTGCCTGGGCCACCCCGTTCACCAACCCGCACTGACCGGTGTGGTGAAGTATGGTCAAAAGACCTTCACGACTGACAAGGCGCGGGGAGATGTTCATACTGCAGTGGAATAACAAAGACCTGATTATAATTATAATAATGCTTATGACTACGTGATTAGCTACCCATATATTGGCGTTCGCTAAATTTTCCGCAGATAGAATGCAAATTTTACCACGATGTAAACTTCGCATAGCGCAGCGCAACGTCGCATATCCACCATGATTGATCACCCACCGACATTCAGAGCGAGATTTGTGCTTGCCGGCGTTACTTGTTATTTTCTATCGATGTTCACATCCACATACCCGCCTCTACCCCAGTCCTTGTCATCAATCTGAATATGCCAAGTGTATTTTCCTTCGCCCATGTGTGATTAGGATAATCTCTTGCCGCTATTTCTACGAACGCGATATCTAAGAGCCCCCCCCCCCCCGCCCGTCTGTGGACAGGATTATGTGGCCCTGCTTCCGATCTGCATTTAAGCACCGTTTATTGTTTATCCTGGGAAATGTTTACATAACAACTTAAAATAAAATATTGTGGGTTTACTCTCCAACACACCAGAGTGCTGAACTAGTAACTAAATTGGCACATTTTGTTTACGCGAAAATCCTTACTAATTGGCTGCGTCGTGCAGTGGCGGGTTGAACGACGCATTCATATTTACGCGATCTGACCCAACCCCTCCCCCCCCTTTATTATGGATCGTTTATCCTGTTTTTGGTAAGTTTCTGACGTGGGCAAAACATTCCTCGTTGTTGTTGCTGCTGCTGTTGTTTTTCTGCTCCTTGTCGAGTTGGCACATTCCCACCCAGCGATGCTCTGCAACTGCGGCCACTGCCCTCCTGCCTCGGTCCGTAGGGTCGTCCTGGCAACGGAGCTGCGCGGCTCATCGGGGGACCTCAGTCAGCGGCCGATACCCGAGTCGGATACGCGACGTTGCGCGGCCGAATGGATCATTTCTCCGGCGGCTCGCGCGGCGGATCGAGCGCGTGCGGGAAGCTCGCTTGCGTCGGCACGGCGCGGAGCGTCTGCCCTTCAATTTATCGTCCATCCGAATTAGAATGGCTCCTATGAATAGCCGCGTGTGATTCAAGTACTCGCTGTACGTACACTGTTAGAGGAACAAAAAGGCACGAGTGTCAGGTTGTAGTCAGTGCAAATAGACGCGCTTACGAGTCATCAGCGTTCGTTTCTCTACGATATCAAAATACATATACTGTAATTGAGCTGCCAACAATATTTGCTGCCAACACATTTCACTCAAGTGTACATGGAAGTGGTTACGAGTCGGGGTTGTAGCGGGGGCTGTGCACCTGAGGGTTCAGGTTGAGGCTGTGTGCGAGTCACCGTGGCCGAGTTCAGGATTCGGGTCAGGGTTAGAATTAGGACCACGCAAGTATTCGAGGTGGCACCATACCCAGGGTAAGTGTGAAGTTTAGGGCTATGGTCAGGGATTAGGGATAATGTTCGACCCATAAATACAGGGTGCTTCAAAAAAATGTGAACACTTCAGAGGCTTTGCAACACCACGTGACATGTGCTGCTGCCTCCGGGCTCTGGAGACCGCCTGGAGACGATTCCAGGCCACGTGTTGACATCGATGGCGAACAAGTGGGAGACTATTTGACTTTTTGAAGCTCTTAACATTACATTCGTCATCATGCTTACGGTGTATTAAAAACGATAGTCCCATGTATGCGTTACCATTTTTTTGAAGCACCCAGTACATATGTCGCCATGTCTGACTTCAGGGTTAAGGGCGAGGGCCGCGTGTGTCGCTGCACACTGCTGTTAGGTTCCAGAATTAGGGCTTGCGGCTCGGCCAGTGGATCTGTGTGCGCCCCTGCCCCTGGAGTTTTACTGCAATGAATTAGGGTCCGGTGTGAGAATCAGGGGTTCGGGTTGAGACCGTGTGCGCGCGCGTGTGTGTGCGCCACTGTGCACAACTGTGCGTAATCAAGGTCAGGGTTCAGGGTTATATTCGGTGGGTTTGCGTTAAGACCGTGCGCGGGTGTCCCGCTGTGCCTGGGCTTCGTCTCTGGGTGCAGGGTCCGGATGAGCCGCTAGCGCCAGGAGCGTCCCGGCGGTTGGCTGAGCCCCACGGCGCCGCCGCCGCCGCTCCGCTCGGATCAGCTCGGTCCGGGCCGCACGAACCCGAAGACGGTGCGGACGGGGGCGCGTGCCAGGGTGACGACCCCGTCAGCGGCACGAGGGCGGTAGCGCCCGGCCGTGACCTGCTCGCCACGTGAGCGCACGCAGGCGTGCCGTGGCGGCGTCTCAAAGTCCACGCCGCTCCCGGGTTCAATCGTCTTGACGGCGTGCTGCCACCGAGATTGTGCACGCGGAGGCGCGAATGAGCGCGCGTGTGGTGTGTTTGCGACGTCGTGTGTGTGTGTGTGCGTGGTGCCGGCCAGCCACCCCATCGTGTACCGCGCCGGCCTGCGTGGTGCCACTCGCGAACAGCACTTGCCCAAAAAGTCTGTTCAGGCGATATGGGGGATCTTTTTTTCATTGCGTGCGTGTGTGGCCACCCGAGGTCGATGCGGCCTTAAGCGAGTACTTGGTGCGATGTGCGAAGACAAAGGCGGTCGGGCGTGGTGCTGGCCACCCACCCCCTCGTGAGCCGTGCCAGCCTTCAGAGGTGCTACTCGCTTAACAGCACTTGCCCCAAGAGTCTGCTAAAGGCTTACACGGGGGGATATTTGTCCTTGTGTTCTCCTGCGCTATAGGACTCGCTGTACATTGGCGCAGTGTGAGATTGAGCTCTCCGCCGGTGAGTGTTTCCGGGTTGGACCCCGCGTCGTTTGGCACGACACCCCATTGTTCCCGCTCCATATGCTGGGAGTGTCGTCGGGAACTGAACTGTTCCTGGGCCGTTTTTTGCCTGAACAGTTTGTTCGTGAATAGTCTGTTCGGGAACAAGATCCCGGACACGTGGAGAGAAACGTTGGACACGATCCCGAACAGCGTGCGCTGCGGTCCGAAAAACACCCCGGCGCTAAAGTAACCGCGAAACCAAACCCCGGTGAAAACATAAACGTTTCAATAAATAGGTACGTGAAGAGCCCACAGGTCAATCCACTGCTGGACGAGGGCCGTCCCACGCCGTGTGGGTCGTGCAGGGTTCTTTGACCATACTTCACCACGCTAGTGAGTGCGGGTTGAAGGCGTTGGGGAGCGTGGACGTGGTGGAATAGAAGTGCAGCACAGCAATGGATTTTGCTGGACTGCCACCTGTTGACCGCCACCTAGCACAGGCCCGAGGCTGCTTCCAGCACTAACCAGGCTAAACTCTGCTTAGCTTCCAAGAGCTGATGAGATCGGGCACATTCATGGTGATTTGCTAATCGATTTTACGTGATTAAAATATTTGTTTATGCTTTAATGTTCATTTCTATTTGGCTGGACTGAGAGTAATATATTCTCGCATTTCATTTGTTGGTACGATTTACACTGGGAAATGTTGGCCAACTGGCCTCTTAAAAAATAATTATCAATCACGATGCAGTGTAACGCAGCTAGGAGATAGCAGTGTAGCGATGGATTCTTGAGATATTCTGTGTGGTGCTTTGCGTGTTATCTCATATATTTGTCATTTGTCTCGGTATTCCACTTTCCTCCCACATCTGACTTCCTAACTCACCCTCTCGCTCACACACTCGCTCAGTCACTCAATCGCTCACCCACTCACTCATTCGCTCACTCACTCATTCATTAATCCACTCACTCGCTCGTTCACCCACTCATTCACTCGCCCTCTCACTCACAAGATCCTGTGCAGCGTGACATCCTGCGAGCGTAACTTAAGATGGCAGAGTTGAATGAGAGCGGTGAGTGGGCTACACTGCTTCATTGCCCCCGCACCACAGACCCCCCCCACCTCCCCAATGCGTACCCTCGTGTGAATCACCGGCTCTTGCATCGTCTCCTTCTTCACCGCCAAGTCCCAGGGCTTCGTCGGACGTGCCGCCGTCTCCTCTCCCTCCTCCGAGCAGTCGGGAATTCTCTCCTCCTCGTCCGCCGACAGCTGAGCGAGGCGGCAGGGCAAGTGGGGGCAGCTGAACAACCGTGGACCGGTGTGCGGTCAGGTGCAACCCGCGTGTTGGGGTGGTGACGCGCGCGTGTGCTGTGTCGGTGTGTGTGGTGGGCGTGGTGCTGGCCACCCACCCCCTCGTGTGCCGAACCGACCCTGATAGGTGCTCGCGAACAGCACTTGCCCCAACAGTCTGCTAAGGCTATACGGGGGGATCTTTGTCTTTGGGGAGCGGTAGCGTAGCGGTCAGCGCACTGCGCTACGAACCCGGCGACCCGAGTTCGATTACCGCTCACGGTCACCAACAACCAGTGACAATTATCTGAATCAGTCCTGGGCCTATCCTGGGTCGACTCGGCATCAAATGAGTACGAGGTGTAGCGTGTAAATGTCGCCACTAGGGAGACAAAAGCGGCCGGGCGTGGTCCTGGCCACCCACCCCCTCGTGTGCTGCTCCGGCGTTCATAGGTGCTCACTAACAGTGCTTGCCCCAACAGTCTGCTAAGGCTATACGGGAGATCTTTGTCTCTGTCTTGTGTCTGCGTGTACGTGCATGCGTGTCAAAGTAGGGGGCACAGGTGGTGCATGGGCCAGTCATCTCAGTCAGTCAACTCGTGGCACCTGGGTCTGCATCGTGATCTCCTGCCAGCAGAGGAGCCTTCGACATTCCACGTGGTCTCAAAGTGCACATAGCCTGGCACAAGCGCCACGGTGACATCACCGCCACTTAGTGGCGAATGGCGGTTATTGTTGTTGTCGTGCATGCGTGTACACGCGCGTGTACACATGCATGTACACGCGCGTGTGCACGTGCGTGCTCACGGGCGTGTGTGCACGTGCGTGCTCACGGGCGTGTACACATGCGTGTACACATGCACGTACACGCATGTCACATGCGTGTACACGCGCGTGTACACATGCACGTACACGCGTGTGTGCACGTGCGTGCTCACGGGCGTGTGTGCACGCGCGTGCTCACGGGCGTGTACACATGCGTGTACACATGCACGTACACGCATGTCACATGCGTGTACACGCGCGTGTACACATGCACGTACACGCGTGTGTGCACGTGCGTGCTCACGGGCGTGTGTGCACGCGCGGCTGCGAGGGCGCGGCGCAGCAGGCGGCAGGCGTGAGACGCGGCCCAGGGCAGCCTCCGGGTCTCCCCGTCCTCCACAGTCCGCAGCTTGGGCCACACGCTTCTCGGCAGGGGCCTGGGCCGGTGAAACGCGGGCGCCGGGACGGCAGCGGCAGCGGCCAAACGACGGTAACATAGATGATATTAAAAAAAAAACACACAGGGCCGCTAACTGCAGGTGCCCCAGCTCAGAAATTCGGACACCAAAGGCCTGGCTCATTCCCCCGTTTTTGCCGTGCCTCCGGCACGTGCCCGGCAACTCCACCGCGCCCTCGGAGCGTGGCTCTTGGTGTCTGAAGGTCTGAGCTGGGGCACTTCACCGCTGCGGTTAGCCCCCCCGTGGTTGTTGAAACGCCGGATATTGTTCCGCGTCTCCTGCGCCTGTTTAATAACACGAATTATTTGAACAAATAATCTACGATGAAGACAACAAATTACTCCAACAACAACAGCAACGATCGCAACAACAAGAACCGTGGTGTTAGCTTGACATTTAGCTTGACATATGGCCATGGTACAACAACGAGATTAACCGTTGTGTTTGCGTGACATGGTAGCGAGGACCTGAGGGCCGGTTCGATGATCACCATTGTGCCTTGCGCTGTCCACAAATCATCGCCTCTTCACACGCAGCATCATCGCTCTTGCTCGTGTGCGGCCGACACACACTTTCCTGTCCGTTCATTTACAGAGAGGGCTAGGGCCGGCTTAAGGAGGTCGTGGTTTTAAACGCTACTTCCGCTGCTGCTGTTGCCAGGGTGGCAGCCGCAGCGTCTCGACACGCGGCCCCAACAGCAACGACGGAGTTACAATCGCAGCTGCAACCGTGGCCACACCACTGATAATTTTGCCTCCGCGACCAATGATTCAACTACAGCCACCGTTTTCTACGATGCCCTTCGTGAGCGCTGCTGCAACCACAGCCACCGCGCAACGGCACAACGGCCGTGTCGGCTGAAGCTACATTACAGGACCTCTACCCTTGTCCATGGTTTCCACTGCCAAGTGTCCCACTTCCCTCTCGTCTCGTCTCCAGCTGTCTTCCGTTGTGGGTGTCACGGTGGCTAGGAGATGTTGACTACCTCGCCTGGTATACAGGAGGGCGTGGAGTTCGATCCCGACCCTGACGCATGTTTGCGTATTTGGAGTTTGCGTGTTCTCTCACCACGTGGTAGTGTGGATTTTTCGTCGGGTCCTCCGGTTTTCCCCTCCACATTTAGAATCAACGTGCGTTTAGAGCAGTGGTTCTTCTTAACCTGGGGTGCACGCACCCCCTGGGGGTGGGAGATGCCCTTTCTGGGGGGTGCGGGACATGGCCAGATTTCTTTAGAAGGTAAATCATCGAAAACACAAATTAAGCACGGGCACGTTACTACAACTACTTTGTTTAATCAAACCCAATGAATTTATTAACACAAATTTGTTTACGATTGGCCACCTCTTTCGGCTACGAGGTCGCTTTGGAAAAAGAGCAATGCAGCTCAGTGCGCCTTGCACTGATAAAATAAAAAAATGAAATAATTCGCAGCGGTCTCTTTTCCATTTACCCGTTGTCGCCGACTCTGTCTCCGGCGGGCGTCTCCCCGAGGAGGTGCCACGTGAGCGGAGCCACCGTCTCGTCCGCGGCGGGACGGCTGTCCGCGTCGCCGTGCTCCGCGCATCTCCCCGTCGACGCCGGCTCCGGCGAGAAGCACTCCTCGAGGGCTCGACGCAGCGCGGCGGCGGCGGCGGCGGCGGCGTCGCCGTCGTCGCGGGAGCCCGACTGCGGGTTCAACGCAAGACCGCGCCGCAGAGAAACGTGCACAGAATTACATACAGATCCACAGGCTTACATACAGTGAGGGAAAAGCGTATTTGATCCCCTGCTGATTTTGTACGCTTGCCCACTGACGAAGAAATGATGAGTCTATAATTTTAATGGTAGGTTTATTTGAACAGTGAGAGACAGAATAACAACAAAAAAAAATCCAGAAAAACGCATGTCAAAAATGTTATAAATTGATTTGCATTTTAATGAGGGAAATAAGTATTTGACCCCTCTGCAAAACATGACTTAGTACTTGGTGGCAAAACCCTTGTTGGCAATCACAGAGGTCAGACGTTTCTTGTAGTTGGCCACCAGGTTTGCACACATCTCAGGAGGGATTTTGTCCCACTCCTCTTTGCAGATCTTCTCCAAGTCATTAAGGTTTTGAGGCTGACGTTTGGCAACTCGAACCTTCAGCTCCCTCCACAGATTTTCTATGGGATAAAGGTCTGGAGACTGGCTAGGCCACTCCAGAACCTTAATGTGCTTCTTCTTGAGCCACTCCTTTGTTGCCTTGGCCGTGTGTTCTGGGTCATTGTCATGCTGGAATACCCATCCACGACCCATTTTCAATGCCCTGGCTGAGGGAAGGAGGTTCTCACCCAAAAATTGACGGTACATGGCCCCGTCCATCGTCCCTTTGATGCGGTGAAGTTGTCCTGTCCCCTTAGCAGAAAAACACCCCCAAAGCATAATGTTTCCACCTCCATGTTTGACGGTGGGGATGGTGTTCTTGGGGTCATTGGCAGCATTCCTCCTCCTCCAAACACGGCGAGTTGAGTTGATGCCAAAGAGCTCCATTTTGGTCTCATCTAACCACAACACTTTCACCCAGTTGTCCTCTGAATCATTCAGATGTTCATTGGCAAACTTCAGACGGGCATGTATATGTGCTTTCTTGAGCAGGGGGACCTAGCGGGCGCTGCAGGATTTCAGTCCTTCACGGCGTAGTGTGTTACCAATTGTTTTCTTGGTGACTATGGTCCCAGCTGCCTTGAGATCATTGACAAGATCCTCCCGTGTAGTTCTGGGTTGATTCCTCACCGTTCTCATGATCATTGCAACTCCACGAGGTGAGATCTTGCATGGAGCCCCAGGCCGAGGGAGATTGACAGTTCTTTTGTGTTTCTTCCATTTGCGGATAATCGCACCAACTGTTGTCACCTTCTCACCAAACTCCCTTTAAGAGTGTGCTCCTAATCTCAGCTCGTTACCGGTATAAAAGACACCTGGGAGCCAGAAATCTTTCTGATTGAGAGGGGGTCAAATACTTATTTCCCTCATTAAAATGCAAATCAATTTATAACAATTTTGACATGCGTTTTTCTGGATTTTGTTGTTGTTATTCAGTCTCTCACTGTTCAAATAAACAAATAAACCTACCATTAAAATTATAGACTGATCATATCTCTTTGTCAGTGGGCAAATGTACAAAATCAGCAGGGGATCAAATACTTTTTTCCCTCACTGTATAGACTTTCATCGAGACCCACAGACTTACACACCCAAAGACTTAAAGACCCACATACTTACATACAGATCCACAGACTTACATATAGACCTAGAGACTTACATAGAGACCCACAGACTAAGATAGAGACCCATAGACTTACCCAGTTAACCAGACTTACATAGAGACTCATAGACTTAAATAGAGACCCACAGACTTACATAGAGACCCACATACTTACATATATACCTACAGACTTACATAGAGGTCACGGGACAGACCCAGCAGGTGCCATGGGTTGATTGACTGGCAGATGCACCAACTGTGCGCCACACTGTGCCAACTATTAACAAAGACAAAGATCCCCCGTATAGCCTTTACAGACTGCAGGGGCAAGTGCTGTTAGCGAGCACCTGTGAAGGCTGGAACGGTACACGAGGGGGTGGGTGGCTAGCACCACGCCCGACCGACTTTGTCTCCCCAGTAGCGATGTTTACACACCGCACCGGGTACTAATTTGAGGCTGAGTCAACCTAGGGGAGACCCAGGACCGGTTCAGATAATCGCCACCGGGTGTTGGCCGTGAGCGGGAATCGATCCCGGGTCGCCGGTTTCACAGCGCAGCGCGCTCACCGCTACGCCACCACCACCATCAACACCAACCACCATCACCATCGCACCGAACGTTATTTCCTCAGAGGCACCAGCAGGAAGTCGTGTGATTTGTAATATTTCTTGCGGTTTCTCACAGCGCTCGCCCGCTCGCTGTGCGTGCGTGGAGGCGATTGCGTCACCATTGCGGCTGCTTACGAGCTGTGGCCTAATAACCTTCGTCGCGGGGGCTATGCCGCTTTGCTTTGTCGCTGGGGTCAAGATGATCACTTGCGTTTCGCCACGAGAACGGTGCTGCAAAATCCGTTGCTGTCCTGAGCTTTAATGTTCCCACGGCTGTGCCCCCTCCGTAGCCCCACCACCACACACACACACCGCGATGCGCACGGTGCGAGGATGGTGGCCCTCATCCAGCAGTGGATGGACACAACATGGAAAGTGCTTTACAGCTTCAAGTCCTCGTTTTTTTACACGCAGGCGGCCGCCGATGAGTTCCTGACGATTGTCCCCGCGATGCTCCCCACCAGTAACGTGGCGGTGACGTTTGGCGAGATGACGACGCGGCACTGCGCGCCCACGGCGGGATGGCGGCACAATGCTGCGGCACCGCTACGCGGACTGCACCACTGTGCCGCTCAGCCACGCAGCTCAGGAACCGCGTTGTAGAAGGGTGCGTTCCGCGTTATAACGGCACGCGCGTTCGGCGTTATACTGGAGTGCTCGTTCTGCGTTATAATGGGGTCCGTTCTGCGTTATAATGGGGTGCGTTCTGCGTTATACTGGAGTGCTCGTTCTGCGTTATAATGGGGGTGCGTTCTGCGTTATACTGGAGCTGGTTCTGCGTTATAATGGGGGTGCGTTCTGCGTTATAATGGGGCGCGTTCTGCGTTACAATGGGGTGCGTTCTGCGTTATAATGGGGTGCGTTCTGCGTTATACTGGAGTGCTCGTTCTGCGTTATAATGGGGTGGCCCTGGACCGGTTCAGATAATCGCCACTGGTGTTGGCCGTGAGCGAGAATTGAACTCGGTTCGCCATTTCTTTGAGCTATCATTTGTGGCCAGGTCGCTTCTGAAAAAGATGGTAATAGCTCAGTGAGCTTTACCTGCGGTAAGATAACAAAACATAGACAGTTTCGTTTTATTTGTATTTATTTGAAAAGTTATTTTCTTGCCTGTCCCCTACTTTGCACTCCTATCGCGTTTGTTGTTGTAACGTTCTGACCCCGTGCCCCTACCGGAACATCTGCGAAAAACGAGCTTTCATTGCCCATCGGATTCCGATTGTGGATGAAGAGCGTCACCGCCAACCCACACTTACGACGAACGCCGTGACAGCTCCGCGCGACGCGGCGTCGCTTCCACAGCTCTGCGCCAACTCCCGCGCCGGGCCTCCAACGGGCCCCGGGGGCCACTCCGTGACGCCGCGAGAGTGTGGGGACCCCCCCCGGGCCTTGCCGGGCGGGAGCCCCCGGGCCTCGTGCCAACCCAGAGCTGTCTGGGACGGCGCTGCCTCGAACTCGCCGAAGTCATCGTCGCCGTCGTCGCTGAACGCGGAGACAGCGGTGGTGGAAACCGGGCCCCGTGTGTCATCTGCTGCTGATGATGATGATGAAGGTGATGATGAAGGTGATGATGAAGGGGTTGTGGGTGTTGATGTACGTGGTGGTGGTGGTGGTGGTGAAGATGATAGCGGTGAAGTTGATGGCTGTGGTGGCGATGATGAAGGTGATGGGGTTGCTGATGAACGTGGTGATGGTGGTGGTGATAGCGGTAAAGTTGAAAGTTGTGGTGGTGGTGGTGGTGATGATGGTAGTGTTAAGGAAGATGATGGTGGTGGGGATGATGGATGTGGTGGTGTTGATGATGGTGGCAATGCTGATGAAACTGGTGTTGGTGTCGATAAGAGCGCTGCGATAGCTGATGATGATCGTGCTGCTGATTCTGCCGTTGCTGATGATTGTACTGGTGGCAGACGTATTGGTGATGCCACTACTGCTGCTGATGATGACCGCTGTCCTGTCGACACCGCTGACGATTCGACGTCTCCTCTCGCCGACGTCATCTCCTCCGATGCAGAATCTGCGCCGTGCCCTGTCCCACCGTCATCGCCATCACCACGATCACCACCAACGATCTCATCCGTGTCATCCGCGTCTCCACGCGCCTCTGGATAAACGCCTCCGTTCACGCGTCCCTCCTCCTGCCACCGAGTCGTCCCTCTCGCCTCCTCGCCTGCACCGCGCAGGTCCCCAGAGACGCTCACGCTGCCGCCGCCGCCGCCGCCGCAGGCAGGCGCCACCATCTCTCGACTCAACGTGGAACACTTCCTCTGCGCCTGCTTCCTCGGTGTCTTACCGAGGCCGCCGTGATTAACGTCCATGGCAACGGGCAGCATTGTCGGAGGTCACGGACGGCGCGGGACTACGGCGGTGGAGTTGATTTTCCATTTGGCGACTCGGGCACGCGTGCGACCTCGTCCGCGTCCCTCCCCCCCCCCCCCCCCCACGATGTCCCCTCTCACCGCGTGGCTGATCGTGCTGGGGGCACCATCAAGTACACCGGCATCGCGCGTGGGGAGCGTTGTCACCATCGGCGATGATGGCTTGGTGGCCCTGCCTCGCCTGTCACACGCACACACACACAGAGACGGTGGTCACACGCACTTCGGCACGCTCTCTCGTCAAACCTCAACATCGACAGGGTCTTCCTCTGTCGGTTTAAAAGCCGTGACTAACAATTACCATCCACCTACCAAACGTCGGGGTAAATTGATGTGCGTGCTGTGCGTGAGTCAAAGCGAAAGAACACACGCGCGCGCACGCACACACGAAGAAACAGGGAAATGAGCAGTACCGTAGGTTATGTTTCGTCTTACTGTAGGCGGTAGGATAAATAATGAATAAGCGATATCCCTCCTCCTACTTTCGACGCGGCGTGACAGGTACGGGTGGGGGGGGCAGCGCCCGGGCTGATTGGGTACAGGTAGAGCGAGCGGGGCTCTGACGCAGTGAGCGTCAGAGGCGAGGCCTCACGTCACACGGGTATGGAGACGACGACGCGAAGTATGGGGCCGTCCATAAATGACGTCACAAGATTGTGGACGATTTTTGACCCCCCCCTCCCTCGTCACACATCGTCACACATCGTCACCAATGTCTGACCCCCCCCCCACCCCCAGGTGCGTGACGTCATTTATGGACGGCCCCTATGAAAACAAATATAAGGATATGCTTGGCCCTTGCTGGCAATAAAACAAGAGGTGTTAAGATGTGCAAGCACCAAATAGGGACCTGTTTGCAGGGAATCGAGTTCGCGTTAACCACACACGGGTACTTTGTGGTGAACACGCAAACAAACATGCTCTGATGGGTCCTTGCCTACGTAAAATATGTGTATCATGGGACCTTGTTTTTCCAGTTTAAAAGGACGAAATATAGGAATGTTTTACCCATTCTGGCAATAAAACAAGAGGTGTTGAGATGTTCAAACACGAAATAGAAACCTTTTACAAGACATCAAGTCTGCACTAACCACCGGTACTTGTGGTGAACATGCAAACAAAACATGCTCCGATAATACATGCGCATTGTCTTTGAAACTGATTGGGCTACACCAGAGACAGCCTTCTTTAGAGCCCAGTCTCACCAGTGTCAGACCAGAGAACGCCAAAAGGCGAACAGCACAAAGACAATGCCACGATCAGGCCACTTACAGCTCGGGGTGAGCAGCTACAAAATGGGACCTTATTGCCAGAGCGTGTGTGTTTGCATGTTTATCACAAGTACGTGCGGTGGTTAATGCGAACTTGATTCCTTGCAACAAAAAAAAAGGTTTCAGTTTGGTGTTTGAACATCTTAACGTTAACCTGCTTTATTGGCAGAAAGGGTACACTTATTCTTATATTTTTTCATACTCTAATACTGGCAAAAAGGTCCCATCACGTGAAGTATTTACCTGTATGTTGAACTTCTTTCCCCACCGTACGTAGCCAACCAACCGCGCTAATCGGAGGTGCTTGCAACCACTCGCGTGGTGGTATTGCAGCTCTCGCTGCATATGGCCCTGTTGCATGGAACCTCGGTGAATTTGTCGGTGGGAAACAACTCTCTGCCTATTTGATTATTATTTGTGGATAAAAAAATGTTAAATTTAAAATGTTTTTTTTTTTAATGCTCCAATGTACCAGCGGATCGGTCTGGAGTGGGTTTTCAGTGGGGCCTTTATTGTCTTGAAGAATATTTATAGAAAAATATATTTTTTTCAACCATTCTTTTAAGAATTAAAATGGTAAAATAAATAAATGTAAGCAATTCAACTTTACGAATCTGACAGTATCCTCACTGCGCAACTCCTGGATGGGTTCCGTACTTGTTAATTTTATTTTTGTGCGAACGCCAAAGCTTAAATTCACTAAAACAACGAAAACCGGTGACACTGCGTTGGCAGCGGAGCACAAGCACACATTACAAACGAACACAAAACTCAACGCTTACCGTAAACGAACCTTCAGTCCACATTATCTGGAGTGAGTGTTACGCCGACAGCCCCTCGTCAAGGCGATGGCCCTTCTCCGGGTTCTCCGGTTTCCCACCACACAACGCATAACCCTCCGCAATAAACAACGGTTGGCCTGTGGCCGCACCTGCGGTACTAAATAAGCGATGCTGCCCGCTGCCCGTGTTTGATTCCACACTTCTGTGACCTCAAATCGAGGGAAGTTCAACCCCTCCTCTCATCACCTGCCTCTTTCTATTTAGGCCCCGCCTCATTCCTACTTATACCCCGCCCCATCCCCCGTTTCGTGTCTGCGCCTTTCCTTTTTAGGATCCGCCCCCTTCCTCTTTAGGCCCCGCCTCTTTCTACTTAAGCACCGCCCCCTTCACACCACCCCAGGCAAGGAGTTGTGGGCAGGTTTCAGTTAGTGGTGGGGGTTGTGGCAGGGGCTGGGGTGTCCGTAAGCTCTGTAGTGGTTGTAGATGGGACAGGTGAGGGTAGGGCGGCTTCGAAACACAATAAGTAATATTTAAAAAAAAACTTTTTTTACAAACACGCTTTAATGAAATGTAGCGTACTAGTAATGGAAGAACTCCACGACTCCAGGAAGTGGCCCCGAAGCTTGCCACAACGTAAGGGGACCGTGGTGGTTTACAGCCAACGTCAGTTGAGCGTGGACAATTAGACGCAAGCCGAAACACAACATATAAAAAAGATGGTTACAAATTTTTTATTTTTATTTTTAATGATAGAATATAGTATTGTCATCAGTATGACATAAGTATACTAAGTTTGCAGTCGATACCACATTGGGAAGTGGCTTAAAATTGAGTTACAAGATTTGAGGATACGACAACAACAACAGACAGAGTTAAATAAAAGCGTGTAAAAACTAAATATATATTTTTAATTGTACCCAGGTAAGGCCCACTGAGCTAAGTAGCTCTTTTTCAGAAGCGACCTGGCCATCACAAATTATAGCTCAAGCAAGTGGCTTCTCGTGCGGAAATTTATAGCAGCACAAATACTCTAAACGCGTGATGTTGATTCTAAAAATGTGGAGGGAAAAACCGGAGGACTCGGAGAAAAATCCACGCGACCACGGGCAGAGAGACATGCAAACTCCAAATATACAGGCGTCAGGATCGGGATTGAACCCAGGACATCCTGTATATCAGGCGAGGTAGTTAACATCTCGCCACTGTGGCGTCCCGCCATCCTTGCAACGGAGGACCCTCCTAAAAAGTCTTAAAACTCAGTGAGGGGTTTTCTGGGTAAACAAATTACTGATCACTTAAGTAATTTGTCACATTGTCGAACAATTATTCCAAGAACACCGTAGAAGGGAAGACCACAGCAAGAAATATTCAAATGTTTCCTGCTGTGGTTTTCACACCTGATGATAATTGCTTGTGTTGCAGTCGAAACGTCGTGAGAATTTAATTGTTTTATATTTTTAGTATTTTATTGTTTCCCTTCTACGTGGTGACTTTACCGAAAGAACCAAGAATATGAATCCCTGCAGTCACGAAAGCTTTAAATCAAAATTATTCCAAGGTTAATTGGTTTACTGTCTGCATGTTGTGCAATGTAATAACACGACTGTGTCGTGGCGTGAACCCGGCTGCCTGGCTTCAATTCCCGGACCATGCATAATTCTACATTCTCCGGGTTATAAGACGCGCGTTTCCCCTCTGTATTCCAAAGTGATAGCTGGGGGTGCATCTTATAATCTGACAGGTGTGTGTGTGTGATATATATTTTTTTGACACCGGGCACACGTCTTTGGGTGCGTCTTATTTTCCGGAGCGTCTTATAATCTGAAATTTAAAAAAAACAGGCTACGTGTCTCAGTATTATATTCGTGGTGCAATTTGGTTTAAAACGACGTTAAACTTATTGCAATTTCTATATTCTTGGTTCTTTCGGTAAAGAAATGTTTCTTGCCGTTGGGTTTCACACCTGATGATGACTGTTTGTGTTACAGTCGAAACGTCGTGAGAATTTTATTGTTTTTATATATATTTTATTATTTTATTGTTTCCCTTCAACGTGACTTTACCGAAAGAACCAAGAATATGACTGCAGTCACGAAAGCTTTAAATCAAAATTTATTGCAATTTTCTTCACACAACCGACACGTGACCTAAATTGTAATTTACAGTCCCATTATCAATCAACCGCCAGATGAATGCCTCCCCACGCATGGGGTTGTTTAAACCATACTTCACCACGCTGGCATTGAGATATATGATGTATAAAAGTACAGGTGCAGCAGCACAAATGACTGCTCGTGCTGCTGCTGGCAGGATGGCCTACAATCGAGGGAGGTCTAGAGAGTTCCTCTAGACTGTATTTGGCCTACTCTTCCACGCAGGCAAGCAGTTTTAGAAGAGGTAGCAGTGTGCGTGTACGTTGAACGTCTTTCACACTGTATGTAGCCAACCGTGCTAGTCAGAGGTGCGGTGCCGAAGGACAACTGACTAAACACAAAAACACATTTCTAAAGAAATGAGTGTTCAATCTTTATTTAAAAGTACGTAGCTCCAGTGGCTTCCGAGTAGAGAGGATGCACAAATATAAACACACATTTTTAACCAGCGGGGCCAGTCGTGTGTGCGTTTTTGTTTGTGGCACAGTGCAGCGTGCTAACCACTGCGCCACTGCTCCACCCGGTGATGGATAGAAAATAATAAGGAATCAACGTTACTAAATTGGCGTAATCGCTGTGGAAATCGTGGACAGGCTGGTCCTCGTCGCGCTGACAGCGGTGAAACAACTGAAATTCAGGTCCGTTTGGCCCATTCCCAAAGTTATTAGATTCAAGACATTTGTCAATAACAATGCCTTCAGAGAAACAACGTTATAATCGGCGTCGTTTTGGGA